CAGAAAATCTTTTCAGGACCCCATCTTGATGTTTCAGGGCCCCACTTTGGGTCCCGACCCCAACTTTGGGAAATACTGCCTTAGACCCATCAAGAAATACAAWCTTTTGCAACGTTCTGCAGCATTTTATTTTGGGGACAGATTCTGACATTCATACAAAAGTGCAGAAAAAAAGTACTGTTATTGTTGTAGTTGTGCATAAATATGTCAAAATAGTGACCAAAAATAAACCTTTCCTCCTCACCATAGAATTATGCTGTCATTTTGTGCAAATATGCACTTGCCAGCATGCACCGTAATTATAAGCACAGCAGGGAGGAAAAAAAGTGAAAAGCAACCTGGGGTCACTTTGATACTTGGGAGAGCACCAAAGCATACAGCAGTTAACACTGCAGATGATTTCAAATGGACCAGCTCATTGACTCAGTCTCTCACCAAGAGTCACTCGATGGTTCACATCATGGTTCAGTTGAGTTGATCAGTGGCCTTGTGTATCCAGGCTTGCCTAAGCTGCTACAGCTGTGCAAACACACACAGTAACAAACACACTAACACAAGCACACAAATGTTCTGTTATGCACAGATACAGATTTTTGTACACATGGCTGAAAATCACACATACACACACACACACACACACACACACACACACACATATATACACACATGCCTGCATATACACTCGCACACACTAACAGCGCTGATCTTCTTAATTTGTACAACCTAATTAACAAAATTCATACATCATTAGGGTGGTAATTCCTTTTCTCAGCAATACTTTATTATTACCAGTAATTATTATCAATTATCCACTAATCAGTCATGATGTTGTTCTGTCAAGGTACAGCTTCACCGACAAAAAAGTTAATAGCTGAGGTCAACAGGCTGAAAACAAAGATAAATTCACTCTTTCTTGTTAAACTTATGTTTAAAATTGAATTAACATTAAGAAGTGTTGCTGTTAGTGCCTTGAATTTATTATGTCTAATCTGACTACACTATACTGACTTTGATACGTAGCATAGTAGGTTACATTAAAATAAGGTAACAGCCTTGGTTGCTCACCAAGATGCTTGCTTTAACCATAACAGTATCTTGTGTTTATGTTTGCTCTGACAGGCATTATCACAGTATGGATGAGTTCAGCCATTATGATTTGCTCGAGGTCAGTACTGGTCGTAAAGTGGCAGAGGGACACAAGGCCAGTTTCTGTCTGGAGGACACCACCTGTGACTTTGGTCACCTGAAGCGTTATGCCTGCACAGCTCACACTCAGGTAATACAGTACAAACAAAACCATAATAAWCTACTTTACGCTCACTAGTCTCCATACTCTAAAACTTAGATGTAATAGCATACAAAATTACAAACAAGAAGTCTCTTAAAACCTGAAGCTATAATTCTGTAGACGTTCTTCCCCTCTATATCCACTGCAGTTCACTTGAATCAGTATTCCTWACAAGCCTCTCCCCACATCTCTGTTTCTTCAGGGTTTGAGTCCAGGCTGCTACGATACATACAACGCTGATATTGACTGCCAGTGGATCGATATCACTGATGTCAAACCTGGAAACTACATACTAAAGGTGTGAGTCAAGTGAGAATCAGATGTGCTTGGGCAAGGAAAGTTTGTGAACAGTAAGGTTACAATAAATGGGGAATAGAAGAGGGTCAAGGTCATCATAACAAATTGATCCATTTTATAAAGTTTTTACATTTTTTGTTAAAGTTTCAGTAGTTTTAGGTTGTTTTTGATGAATATTTAGTAAAAAAAAGGTCCTAAAATGCTTTTATGGGTATTTTTGCTTGTTAAGTTTTGAATTCAACTGAGTACCTCTTTCTTCTGTCTCCAGCTTCAAGTTAATCCCAAATTTTTGGTGCTGGAATCTGACTACACCAACAACGTGGTTAAGTGTAACATTCATTACACGGGACGATTTGTTACGACAAACAACTGCAAGTTATCACAGTAAGTTATACAAAGGTGCGTGGCTTTTTAAATGTCAAAGTTCAAAAATGACTGACTTGTCTTTCCTTTGGAAACAGGTTACTGCATTTGCAATACTCTTAAATTTTCATTTGTTCTTTTTTTTTTTTGTCCAGTGAAAACTTGGAGGTTGTGTCATTTATCCATCACTAAACTCCATTCAGCCATTTAACTGAGTGTAGGATGATGCAGTCATCAAAAGACTCTAACAATGTTTTGAGACTCTTAAAGAACTTAATGTCTTTCTGGCTAAAATATTTGATAATTTAATGAATCAGGCTCTCATTTTCCCTTCAAGATTAACAGCCTGTACTGAAACATTGATATTGCCCCTCAAAGGAAGATGTAAGGGTGTTAAACTTGCAAATAGCACTATTAGGAAGTGAATCATTTCACTCCAAATTACTCTCATATCCTCTTGCAAAAGCTTTYATTACAAGGAGTAAAATTACTCAAAGCTGTCTTTCTTGCTTATGTAATGCAACAAATACTGACAAAGTGTTTGTCAAAACATTTCCCATAGTTAATAAAATGTTATCTTCAGTGTTTTTCCTATGTAAACTATAAGGTTTCCAGTTAAATAATGGCATGATACAGATGCAGCAATAGCTTAGATTTCTCCCAACATCATTATTAAATGTATTAAGATATTTTTCTCGTGTCAGCATAATAAATTATTATTATTACGGGTATAGCCATTCTAATAGATATATGCATTATAGTCAAAATAAGCAAAAGTAGCACTTTGAGGTTTCTTGTTTCTTTTTAGCAACTCAAAACATTAATTGTGTGATGCAAGGACATTGTCTGGCTAGCCTTGTCTTGTATTTTGGATTTACCTGTAAATTTATTATAAATGTATGAATTTTTATTTTGTTATTTTTTTGAACTGGCAATGACAAATGAGGGGTGACTGTGACTTAAACATTTTGTGCAGTACTGCATCACAGCATTTCTTTATGAAAGTAATTGTATGTTCAAACAATAACCACAACAACAAAGTTTATTGTTATTTGTTTGTTTTTTTAAATAAAAAATGAAACAAGTATAGCAACCAGGAAAACAAGAATGAAAAATAAAAGTCAGGACTGTGATAGTGGTTTGCAACATTGTGTTTTCTGAGATATTGTACCATTTGTCTATAACTGTTTGACCAGTCATAACCTGTTAAATAGTTTAGGAGAAAATGATTAGACTCTTTGACAGTGCCCAGAGCCTAAGGATGCACCCATTGATCAATATTACTGGATTGGACATAAGACTTCTCGTGCRCCGCACAGGTGCCATTGCAATGCATTGAGTCTGGATCAAGAACATCCACGGATGGTCATAAAAATGAGATGCAGCAGACAGTCATGCAAGCAATATCAAAAAAAGGGCGATGTTTTGCCATAAATTGTCAACACTACAACAAGATCACAAGATAATCACATTTCACATGTCATTAAAAATATTTTAATTAAAAAAAAACAGATGGAGATGCAGAAAGTAGATCAGTTATGCTAACTTGATTTTGACAACCTTGTCGAGTACATCCACTCAAAGACAAATTTGCCCTAAAATTAACTTCTATACATCTTATCCCTGACCTCAGTATCTAAAATTAACCATTAACCCTTTTTGATAATAGTAACCATTTTTGAAAAGTGTAGAAAATGCATTACAAGTAACTCCCTCAAACCCTAAATTTAACTTCTATTAACACTAGACATCCTATCCCTGACCTCACTACCTAAAATTACCGGTAATCCTGAACCCTAGTATTAAACTCGGACCCCAACCTGAAAACTCAGAAAAGCCCTGTGCGTCAATAACTGACGCAAGTGGGGTTGTCCGATGCATCAAAACTGGACGCAGTGGAAACTTTGGACAAGCATCAATATGTGAATCGGGAGTAAGAATGTGTTGGCTTGGTACAAGGTTATTATATCCACAAGTATTTGGTTAGGATGCTGGGACAAACATGATTAAATAAGACATTGACTTCCTCAGTTTGATCAGAAACACAAATACTGTCATATGTCTGTCATAGGGACATAGCAAACAGAGCAGATTACAATGTTTTGGAACATCAAAGCTTTGAACAGATCCTAAAATACTTTTAATTGTTTAATAGGAATGTTGCAGGCTTTTAAAACTGAAGACATTAATGACTAAACTGCACTGAAACCATTTACTGAGCTTTAAAAGTTACAAAATCACTAAAAAGTGCTGTTTATTGTCTGCCTGTTTTGCAGGTCCTGATCCAGCACTGAAGATTGCCACATTGGAATGACCCTGTATACTATTCCATCGAGATGTGAATGGAATCTATTTGTTTTGGTTCATTGTTAGTGTTGTTTGTTTTCATGTGTTGCATTATGGGATCCTGAGCCAACAGCAAACAAGAGTTCCTCTGACACATTAAATACAGAGGTTTAAAGTAAACACAAGTCTCCTTACACAACCTGTAATGGATATTAGACATCACTATCCCAGCAACAGTTCATGGTTCTGCCTTCTATATTCGACTTTGAAATGTCTTGAAATATTTGCTCTTATTACATGCATTTTTGTTTCCACATCACTGGCTTTTAAAAAAGTAGTGTTTACTGTATATCCAAACAGATGAGTCTGAGTTCAGCTGTAATCTAACAAATAAAATTAGGGAGAAAGTCCTGCATTACATCTGTATCTGGTTTCTGTATCTATAAATGTGGGAACAGATAGAGATGTCCAGTGACCCAGAAGAACTATAATTYGTCATTTTGTTTTCTCTCCTCACTGCCTCGGCGGGTCGAGCTTAGATACTGTGATTTTTCCAGGTCCATCTTGTTCAATATTGTGTTAACAGCAAGAGGAAGATGGCAGGTCATAGTTGCAGTTGTCAGTATCAAATTGTAAGCCACCAGAAATGACAGACYATCAGTAATGGACACTATAAACTCTGCATTTTAGCATGCTGGCACAGTCTCCATTTTTCTTCTTTTATTTCAGTAAAACAGGAACAGCAAAATCTCATTGGCAGAACGGGAAGCTTTCAAGAAGACAGTATTATATTCAACTACTAACACTGGCCTAAAGGCACATGTGCCATTTTCATCATTTAAAAAATGTTTATACAAATAGTCCATGAATGCATAAATTTAGTTATAGGTATTTTTTTTTACTAATTTTGTTTTGTTAATTCATTTTCAAGTTACTGTAATTGGTGATTTTTTCCTTCTTTTCTTGAATTGTGGAAGGAGTAAAGGGCTTGTTATAAAAAAAAGAAGAAAAACAGCACTGTCATCTTTACCTACCTCTCCAACTGGGCAAATTAATATTTCCATTAGATTTCCCTGCAGTAAATTTTGCAACTACATTTTATCTAATTATAAAGCTAACATAAAAATTAATACTATTTTTAAAGAAAAGTTTTGTTTACTTTTTGTTTAGTTTTTCTCTTTTTTCTCTTTTTTTGTAGTCTTGCCAAAATACAAAGCCCAAAAAAATAGGAACTGAATTTTTTCAAAGTCACATGATTTTATATTGTGGTACACGTCAAATCGGTTCATTTCTTGTAGTTTAAAACAACAATTAATCTGTGTTTTTAAAGTGTAAATCCAAATGTGACAATTGTAGCAATAATGATAAAAAATAAGCAGTTAAAATTGGGRCATCTATTGTTAATGTAAACATAGTGAGACTTAGTGTCTATAAATGTACCTCCTTATCTGTTTATGAACACTCTTCAGCATAGACAGGAGACATTTTAAGTGAATGAGAATAAAAACTGTGATAAATAATCATTTATAATAAGAATAAATAATAAAATAAGACTATAATTGCTACTATTGCCCTTAAAGTCAATCTTGATACAATGCTAAATTACTTGCTGAAAAGTGAAACACTTCTTTGGAATACCGTGTRCAAAAATGTCAGAAAAAACCACTGACTCGCCAACAACAGAAGCAATAACTTCTATTTAAACCAATAGAATACCATCCAGTGCCTTGCCTATTTGCATAAAACCTAACAAGTCACATGGTAGTTCAAAATGTTTCAATAATATAAAAATAATAGTGGCAGCTTTAGATGAGTTTAAAATGTTGAGGCCCACAAACACTTATTCAAATCCCGTCATTTTCTTGGCTGCAGATATGTTTTATGAAGCAACAAGCAACTCACTGTGATGTTGCTCTTTTCCTTTAAATCCAAAACTCTAAATTAGAGAACTGATGTAAGTTCTGTCCTCCTTATCATCTCAGAAGCAAAGTTAAATCCACACATATGCTGATGTGTTTAAAGATTACCTGGCTATGTGGGGAGATACAAAATGTCTTTGTTTCGTTTTGGTGTTTTTGTGGCTTCAGATCACACAGTCAGATTCAGTAAACTGTCTCCAGTGACAGACTACTTGTTTAAAAAAAGTACCTAGTGACCTTTTACTTGAATGTAAAACTTGTGTGCCACATTGCTAGACAGAAAGCTTCGAGACACTTTATTCCCAATACAGCTCACTGTGCAGTGTGTTTTAATCACAATTTAGCTACATCCTGATTTTTTATGTTTTAATATATAGTAAAACATATAATATATAATATAAGTGTAAAATGTAAACTGATAAATGGTTTTTGCACAAAATCTTTCAGTTTCAAAGGAACATTAAGATTTAACAAAGTGGGAATTTTATGTATACAACATCACTGATATATCTTTGTTTTTTGTACATCAGTATGTGCTAGTTAAATATTGCAACATCTGTCTTCAAAATATATCTGTAGCAGATGTATTGTTTTTTATATTGCCTAGAATCTGCAGGTCTGTCATTTTGTACTGTGACTATTGATTTAAATCCTGCAGGAAGCTTTAATGTTTGTCCTATAACATACAAAATGCTTGAACAAGAACCTTTAAATCACTGATTTACACATTGTGTACCACATCAACATGCAGATTAGTCCAAAATAATTTAGTAGAAAATGTTTAATGTCTAAAAA